ATGGGTCGGTACCAACTCGATGGCACCTAACAACAACAATGGGTCAGAACTAATTCGATGATACTTAACAACAACAAAGATTACAGCATTTAAAAAAAAAAAAAATTAAGTTGTTGTTAAGTGACATCAAGTTGCCTCTGACTCACAGAGGCCCTGTATAGAGTTTCTAATTCTTTAAATCTGTGTGGAAGCAGAAATTCTCATTTTTGTACTCACCAGCAGCTGGCCAACTTGAACCATAAACTCTGTGGTTCACAAAGGCCTCATTATATAGAGCCACCATGTTCCTACAGATTTACCAACACAGATATAAAATTGTCTCTTGTGAGTTTGTGTGTGTATATAGCGGTGGGGCATGAAATACTTTATGTAGTATCTCTGGTACTATATGCATGATCTTGACTCCTATAAAACATTAATTGGGGCTATGTAAGTAAAAGAAAAACAAGATGGTGCTGATGATTTGGCATTTAGCTGCTAAGCCAAAATCTTGGTTCAAAGCCACCACAAAGCCAAAGGTAAGAAAGACTGTGTTGCCCATTCCTATATAGCTTTTGCATTCTTGTGAATCCTAGATAGGATTACTTTGAGCTAGGGTGAATTCCATGGCTTGGTTTTGTTTTGTTTTTAATACAGATAAGGTGCACAGACTCCTGTGGGAGGGGGGAGTGGGGGGTGGCATGCAAATAAGGTGTACAGAATCCTAACTGGGGAATGTTCACTTTTCTTTTACTAGGGAGCCCATCCAACCAGTGAAAAGAGTTCACTACCATCCAGCAAGAGAAGGAGGGGCCCTTCAGAGTTGTAATGGCAACAGTGTCTGTGGGTAATCAGGGAGACGTGCTGGAAGAGCAACCTGAATTGAAAGTGGAACCCCACTGGCCCTGTACCCACCCAGCAGCTCCAGGACTAATTGAAGAAGACCAGGTAGAAGATATCTCTGACAACTCAGAGCAAGATGACATGAAAGCTCGAGTTAGGGAGATGAATGAAGAAGTTGCCAAGCTTAAGGAGCTACAAAAGGAGCTGAGGAAACAGATGAATATGTCCTCATCACCTCACACGGTGACCATGTCAATGGCTGATGCCCGATCTATCTATGTTGGTAATGTGGACTATGGTGCCACACCAAAAGAGCTGGAAGAACACTTTAAAGACTGTGGTTCAGTCAACCGGGTTACCATCCTCTGTGATAAATTCAGTGGCCATCCCAAAGGCTTTGCATATATAGAGTTCTCAGACATAGAGTCAGTGAGCACTTCCTTGGCCTTAGATCAGTCCCTTTTCAGAGGAAGGCTAATCAAGGTGATCCCTAAACGTACCAACAGACCGGGTATCAGCACCACAGACCGGGGTTTCCCAAGATCTCGCTCTCGTGGCCGCACTACCAACTACAGTTCTCATGTCTATGCAGGTTTCAACAGAGTAACCCAGAGTTGGCGTAGTGGCCGTGGTCAAGTCTACCGGGGCCGTGTCTACCGGGGCCGTGTCTACCGAGGCCAGGTAACAGCCACATCCCGTTATCTACCTTACTAACAATGTTTATCAAAGAAAAAATATATTTTATGTGGGGGTGAGAAAGAGCTTCTTTTCAAATATACTGTGGAAAGGGAGAATCCTGTAGGATTCAGTTGTAACTGCTGGGACAGTCCTGCAGAATGAGGAATGAGGCGGCTTATTTTACTATGAAATGTAATTTACAGGTTAATCATAGAAAGTTAGAGGTTAAGGAAGAAGAAAGTGGTCATGTTAAAAATTGTAATATTAGGATATTTAGGGATCCTAGAGTATTTTGTATGGTAGTAAGGGCCACCCAGTCAGGGTAATCAAGTTAATTAAGAAACTATGTATGGTTACATTGATTCAAATTGTTATTTTTGAGTATAATGTTAGGGGTAGAAGTATAATTGTGGGAATGATCATTTTTAACATTGAAGTAAATTTAAGTTTGGAACGTAGTCTAACCCATATGACACTATTAGATAAACCTGCTGCTTCACAAGCAGCAAATACTAATAATAAAAAAAATAAGGATCCTAGTTATTAGCATTAAGTATATAGTTAGGGCTACTCATTCACTCTGGATAGTAGCCATAAACCTGCTCCACAGATTTCCCTGACCCATTTCCACCCCTTGGGTCTGCTCAAGATTACGTGGCCATGGGAAGTAAGAGGATTTTTTATTTTGTAAGAAAACAATTATTCTGCCTGTTACTGCCTGTCATGGGTGAGTTGTATTCCCTATGTATACAATGATTCTCACTGTTTGGGATGTTATGTAATGATGAGACTTGGCCACTGTAATGATACAATTATCCCCTGATAAATTTATCCTCATTTTGTGAGGGCAGGTGGTAGGTGGGTTTTATTTTGTTTTGATGTGTATCATGAATAAACCTGCTTTTGCAATTAAAAGAAAGAAGGCCTGGCGTGTGTCCTTGGAAGATTAAAAGAATTGCATTATGTAAAGTAATTGCATTTTTATTGTTTTTAGGGACATTTGAGTGGGTTACAACAGAAGAAAACATTGCCCATCCCTAGACTTTTACTGTTTTAGTTACTCCATTTCACCTTCAGACAGTCCATGGTACATTCAATTATTGTTGTTAGGTGCCATCGAGTCCAGATCAACTCTTAGCGACCCTGTGCACAACAGAACAAAACGCTGCCTGGTCCTGGGCCCAGTTCTGTTGTCATGCTTGAGCACATTGCTGCTGCACTTTACCAATGCATCTCTCTGGGGGTCTTCCTCTTTTTCTCTGACCCTGCACTTTACCAATATCCCTCTTCAGTGACTGGTCCCTCCTGACAATATGTCCGAAGTATGAGAGACAAACTTTGGCCATCCTGGCCTCCAAGGAGCACTCTGGCTGCACTTCTTCCAACACATATCTGTTGGTTCTTTTGGCAGCCCATGGCACTTTCAATATTCTCCTCCAACACCATAACTCAAAAGCATCAATTCTTCCATGGTCTTATTCACTGTCCAGCTTTCGCATGCATATGAGGTTATTGAAAATACCATGGCTTGGGTCAGGTGCACCTTAGTCTTCAAGCTGACATCTTTCAATCATTCAATATTCTTCACTAACACCATAATTCAAAAGCATCAATTTGTTTCTTATCTACCTTATTAAATATCCACCTTTTGTATGTATGAGGCAATTGAAAATACTAGGGTGTGGGCCTGGCACAACCTTGACCTCTAAGAGACATTTTGATCTTTTTCACTTTAAAGATCCGCCCAATGCCATTTGGTTTCTTGAGTATTTATTGGAGATCCAAGTAAAATGTAATCATGGATAACTTCAATCTCCTATGATGTTTGTTGGTCCAGCTTGGAAGATGTTTTTACATTCAGTGGTGATCCATCCTGAAGGCTGTACTCTTTGATTTCCATCAGCAGGTGCTTCAAATCCTCTTAGATTCCAGGAGGCAAGGTTGTATTATCTGAATATCTTAGGTTATTATTGAACTTTGATCCAATCCTGAAGCCATATTCTCACCCATGTAATCAGGTTCTCAGATTATTTGCTCAGTGTATAGAATGAATAAGTATGGTGAAAGGATAAGACTTCTTAATCTCGATTCTCCAAGAAAACATTATTAGATAATTTTCACATTCTGTTGGGTGATCTTTCTTTGGTATCCGTGCAAATGTGGCTCTCTTGCAGTCTGTTGACTTGGTAGCTATTTTTCAACATTCTTTCCATAGACAGCCTCCAGCACTGCATCCATTTGTTCAAACATCTCAATTGGCATTCTATCAATTTCTGCAGGCATGTTTTCACCCATATCTTCAATGCACCTTGTACTTCTTCCTTCAGTACCATCAGCTTGTGATCATATGCTCCCTCCTGAAATAGCTGAACATCAACCAATTCTTTTAGGCACAGTGAATCTGTGTATTCTTTCCATTTTATTCTGATGCTTAGTGTGTCTTTTAATATTTTCTTCATAATGTCCATCACTGTTGCAACTCGAGCCTTGTTTGATCTTTCTTACATTCTTTTTCCTTGAGAACTGCTGAGTGTGTTCTTCTATTTTGGTTTTCTAACCTCAGGTTTCTTCACTTTGATTATGCTTTACTTGGTATTGTTGAGCCACCCTTTGAAATTTTCTGTTCACCCCCTTTCTTCCTGTCACAATTGCTACTGCTATGTTCAAGAGCAAGTTTCAGTGTCTTTTCTAATATCCAAAATGTCAATATAACTATATCTGGCAAGTGGTAAACCCTATGCAAGCATTTGCCATTTTTATTTTCCCAAGTTTCCCTTTTGTAAAGACTAGCTAATGCTGCCTTTCTCTAGCTCACATAAAATCACATGAATGCACGCACTTGACTCTAAAAGACTTAGCAACCAAGGCTTTCCTACCAAGATACAAAAACTTTGAAAGGATATTATTGCCAGAAGAGAAAAATGTAGTTATTTTACTGTATAGTTCAGAACAGTAACACTGAAAACTCTCTCGAGTCCCAGAATTAATTTGGTGACAGAACTAGACTTAGAATTCAGTGGGTTAATTATGCCAGTGTGTACAGATTTTAATTTCTAAATCAGATATTTGTCAGCATTACCATTGTTTATGAATTGAGTTAAGGTTTACAGGGCAGATCATCAGTTTTACATTCAACAAATCACACACGTTGTTTCATCTCAATGATTGCTATCTCTTTCATATAAAAACTGTTTCCACTTTCTCCTTGTGGTTTCTATTTCCATCCCACTCTCCTTCCCAACTCTTTGACCCCTGTCTCAGGTAAATGCTGCCCTTTTGATCTTGAATGGTTGCCTATTCAATGTTGAACTTTTCTCACTAGCTGTGTTGAAACTTGGACCACGTAATGAGTTCTGCTCCAGACCTCAGGAGTGGACAAGGGTCATAGTCTCAGGTTCCTACAGTCTCTGTCTAACTAGTAACTTGGCCAGTTTTATAACTTTGAGTTTTCTTTCACATTGTCACCCACTCTATCTGAGATGTTATAATGTGATCCCTTTCAGAGCAGTTGGTAGGGGTAGCTGGGCTCCATCCAGTTCTTGGCTCAGTGTTGGTGAGACTGGCGTTCATGTGCTTCATTAGTCCATTGGACAAATCGATACTTTGCATGTTCAATTTTCTCCACTCTTGTTTCCTGCACATGGAGACACTAATAGTTGTACTTTTGATGGCTGCTTGAAGAAAACCATTAATTTCATTTTTTCTGTTACCTCAGTCTATTCTTTACAGAAGCAAGATAAAATGTGAAAACACCTTGCTTGAGGTATGTAGAATATGTTGTTGTTATGTGCTGTGGAGTCGGTTCCGACTCATAGCGACCCTATACAGGGTTTTCAAGGCTATAAATCTTTACGGGAGCAGAAAGTCTCATCTTTCTCCCATGGAACAGCTGGTAGTTTTGAACTGCTGACCCTGAGGTTAGCAGCCCGATTCATAACCACTATAGCCACCAGTATTGAGGGCTTGACTACCCCATAGTAGAGTGAGGGACAAAAACCTAACCCAGTTATTTATTAGTTTGGCCTTAGCTTACAAATATTTCAATGCTTACCTTACCATAAAGTTTCTGTTAAGTGCTTTCAATTCAATTCCAACTCATAGCAACCCTGTATAAGGTTCCAGAAGAGCATCTGGTGGATTTGAACCTTCGAACTTTCAGTTACCAGTTCAGTGCTTATCCTACAGTGCCACACCAGAAGCCCCTTACCATAATATCCAATTGTAATGTCTACAAAGGGGCCTCTTATTTAATTTATTGCAAATCCCACGTCTATCCGATGTGGGCTAAAAAGTTGTTTACTCAAATAGGGGTTTGGTGATTTTAATTTTAAACTTGGAATTGAGAAGCCCAGTTTTCACTGCTCACTTCTTCTTACTCCTCCTACGACCCTACCCCCTGACCCCCAATTCCAAAAGGCTTCAGAATTTGGGCCAAATTCAAATCCATACTGCTGGAATGTTAGCTCAACTGATAGGAATTTCCTTTACTTTGGAAAAATGATAAAAAAAAAAATCCTACCCAAACTGTATTCCCACTTCTTACAGTTAATTGTTTTCTGGGCATTTTACAGATCGATCCAGACTATCACAGAGAAAATGATCATGAGACTCAGGGAAAACAATGGTGTTGGAGGAGAATATTAAAAGTACCATGGACTGCCAGAAGAACAAACAGATCTGTATTGAATGAAGTACAGCCAGAGTGCTCCTTAGAAGCCCCGATGAGGAAACATCATCTTTCATCCTTTGGACACATTATCAGGAAGGACTGATCTCTGGAGAAGGACACCATGCTTGATAAGAAGGAGGGTCAATGAAAAAGAGGAAGGCTCCTAATGAGAAGATCTCAAGTGTAGGTAGCCCTTATGAGGTTGGCACGGTGTTTTGTTCTATTTTTCCTTTTGACATCTAACAACATACCATACCCCTCAAAATGAGCGCAGTGGTGAAATAAAAATAAAGTCTCTATTTGAGTTAATATTATCTACCAATGTCAGTTTTCTGGTTTTAACAATGTACTAGGATTATGTTTGGAGTTTTAGTGTGGCTCTGTAGGATAAGCACTGGACGACAAGGTCAGTTTGAACCATAATGTTAGTGATTCAAACCCACCAGCTGCTCCTTAGAAACTCTGTAATGGGTCGCTACGAGTCTTACTGACTCAAGCACACTTAACAACAATCACAACACAAGAATTATGTTTAAGGTGTCAGTTACGTGTAGCATCAGCCTACAAGGTACTGATCCTCAGCCTCATCTCTGTCTATGTCCTTACAAGATAAATGTAGCACATTTATCCAGTGCATTTGAGGGTTGGCAATATCACGGCTTCTTTGCCCATCCAGTAGAACCACAGGCGCAAACCTGCTGCATTTGCTGTTTACAGAATTCTCTGACGAAGTCAGCTAACCCTGAGAGAATAATCAACTGGTAGCCAGATTCCTTTCTCCCTCCTCACCTGACCCAGGCAATTCTACACTATGTATAATTGCCATTTGACTTCCTAAAGTAACTTCCTCAGCAAGGCTCATTTTCTTGTTAAACCCAGAAGTGCCAGTAACCAATGCAGTTTCCAATTTGGAAGAATAAATAAAAGGAGAGAGCAGAAGCTGACTTAGTCCTCTTTTGGTGACTCCAGGCACATGAGGAAGTGCTGGATAACAGGTACAAACCCAGGGCCATTGAGTGGACTCTGACTCATAGTGACCCTATATAGGGTGTTCACTCTTTCTCCCAGAGTGGCTGGTGCGTTTGAACTAATGACCTTGGGGTTAGCAGTCCAGTGCTTAATCTACACCACCACTAGGGCTCCTACCTATTCGCAACTGAGATTTTTCTTACTTTTGAAAGATTTATCTTATGACTTTTAGCTTTGGACCTCCCAAAGCATTGGCCAAAACATGTTGTTCTTTCTACTCTGTTGCCGTTCGACATGTATCCCACTTTTGTGGGCTGTGTTTCATGTCTACTGAGAGATCTCTCAAATGCCCATGCCCAGGATCAGCTTTTCCGTTCAGCTCTGGTACCCACTACCTTTCTGACAAGTTTCTTCTAAGAAGTCTGCTTGGCGTGCTAACCTCAACAAAATTTCATTTGTCACCACTTACCACACAGGTTCTGTGTTGACAGTAGTCTATAATAAGGCACACTCAATTTGGCCTTTACTGTCTGGTATAACTAAATTCATTTTCCTTCCCCCACCAGCCCCAGAACTAAAACTTCTATTTCAGGCACCACCACTCCAAACAACTCCTGAGTTTGAAGCTTCAATAGCATGTATGCCATATTCCTTTCCCCTGTTTCCATACCTAACCAGTTGTTAAGGTCCATGATTTCTCTTGCAAACCCTCTCTCGTTTCCATTTCTTACATTTATCATCTTTACTGTTGTTGTTAAGTAACGTTGAGTTGATTCTGACTCCTGGCAATCCTGTATAGGGTTTCTGAAGAGCAGCTGGTGGATTTGAACTGCTGACCCTGTGGTTCACAGTCCAGTGTTGATCCTAGACCATCTGTTGTTGTTATGTGCCATGGAGTCAGTTTCGACTCAGCGACCATGTTCAGGGTTTTTGAGGTTGTAAATCTTTATGGGAGCAGAAAGCCTCACCTTTTTCCTGCGGAACAGCTGGTAGTTTCGAACGGCTGACCATAAGATTAGCAGCCCGATTCATAACCACTACACTATCAGAGCTCCTTAGACCATCTGTAGACTTGTCTATTTCAATGCTTCTTAACTGGATCCCCATGTCACATTTATTCCTCTCTAATCAATCCCCCACATGGTAATCTCCTTAATGGGAGTTCTCACCATGCCACTCCTTCGGCCAGTGCATCAACACCTCCCACTGGCAATAGAATGAATTCACATTTAGGCACTCCATGAATATGTAGATCCCAAAATACCTTTTCTGGGAGCTTGATCCCTCTAGCTGCTCTGATGGAGAAAGAAGAAGCAGTCATCTTCTGTGAAGACTTTTACAGCCCCAGAATCTACTCTATCCTATCAGGTCTACTCTATCCTACTGGATCTGTTTGAGTCAACTACAGGTGGGACATATCCATGATTCACATCTCATGCAAATAAAATCAGCATGACCTTTTTCCCTCTCAATGATCTCAGGCTGCATGAAGTATTCAAAATGGAGCGGACACTGCCCGTGTCTTGGAATCCCTCACCCAATGTCGCCTAGCAAGAGAGGGATGTAGACACAGACAAACGGACTGTGAAATATTGAATTCTATTCAAAAGGAAAAATAGCCCCAGAGGGTGGCCAGTGATATAGAAATGAATGAGGGTTGGGGATGCTGACATGGAGTCTCAGGAAATACAAACAATTAAGCTCTGGACTCGTCATCAAACGATTGGTCAATCAAACCCACCCATGTGCTGCAGAAGAAAGGCCTGAAAATTTGCTTCTGTGAAATAGGCCATTGACAAATCAATGGAGCACACTTCAGTCCTGACACAAGTTGGGTTGTCATGAGTTGGCACTAACTCCATGGCAACTTGTTTTTTCTACCTTGGGAAGTGAGGGATCTAAGTTGTTGTTGACAATGGCTGCCAAGTCGATTCCAACACATAGAAAACTTGTATAGGGTTTCCAAGAACAGGTGTTAGGCTCAAACTACCAACCTTTAGGATAGCGGCCAAGTACTTACCCTATAGAGCCACATCGGGACCCAGGATCTGCTGTTAGACAACACAATCCAACACAAACCATTTCTGTGCTCAAAAGCACAAGAACTGAGTCACACACTACCAACTCCAAGTGTAAACGATGAGGGACAAAGGAATAAATGAATAAAACATTTTCTAAGGCAGTGTTTAATAGTGACAGCCACCTATTGGTTTGAAAAATAAGTGCAGGGTTGACTTACATAATATCACACTGTAGTTTCTATAAAGTCTTCATCTAAGTCCCACTCTTTCTAAGACTTGACAAACAGATCTGGCTTAAAAAGATCTTTAACTGCTCAATTAGGGATTTGGTGACTCTAATAATAATCTTGGAATTAAGAAGTTTAGCTTTGATTTCTCCCTCCTAAACTCTCCCTGCCAGTAAAAGGCTTTGGAATTTGAATCCAATCACCACAGATTCACACTGAAGGACTAGGGAGTGCTGATGTGGCATTTCGTGCTAGTTCAAGTAATAGAAACTTTTTTTACATTGGAAAAAAGCCTAAAGAACCCCATACACAGGGTATTCATTACTATTCTGGGTATAATACTGACACAAGATACCACAGGGCAGAAAACATCCAGAAGTTTGGGTGAAACTGAGGGGAACCAAGCCCAATTGGAGGAGAGATAAGGTGCTTATTGCCCACCTCCCCCTTGCTAACT